TTCGAAAATAAGTAAGAATTTAAAAATTTCTATTTCTGTTTTGAAATTTCGAAATCAAAAAATCAGTGCTCCTAATCGAACGGGGTTGTACTGAACAATTCGCTCGAAGACCTGGCCCCATTAGGTTAGTACATGATCCGGGCATATGTAATTACAGAAATAAATTAAAAATGAACTATCGCTACATAATATTACGAAAATCTGTGCTTAAGGTCTTGAAAAAAAATGATTAAGAAACTCATGTATGTGTTGTGAGTGGGATCGAAATTTAAGTGTAATTAGAATTTCTTAATAAAATTGAGAATTTTAAAGTAGAATTTACATAAATGCACTGTTAGTGATGGGTGACGAAATTGACGAAATTTGACGAAGTAATTATTTCGTAAATTTCGTCACTATGAAAATATTTCGTCACTTATAATTTCGTCAATTTCGTCATTGTGAAAATAATTTCGTAAACCATTTATAATGGTGGATAGGTTTTGTATCGGTTTTGGAAGGTTATCGGATTTGAGAAATTTCATGTGATTAGTCAATATAAATGAGCTAATCAAATCACAAAAATTTTTATAGGTAGGTTCAAATGAACCCGAATTAGAGTCATTTAAACCCATGTTTGGTTCAAATAAACCCAGAATTGGAGCATTTGAACCTGGGATTGGTTCAAATAAACCCAGAATTGGATCATTTGAACCTGGCATTGGTTCAAATGTACCCAGAATAGGGTAGTTTGAACTCAGGTGTCGTTCAAATGAACCCGAAATAGGATCATTTGGGTTCAAATGAATCTAAAATAGGATCATTTGGGTTCAAATGAACTTGAAATAGGATCATTTGGGTTATAATGGACTGAAATAGGATCATTTGGGTTCAAATGAACCTGAAATAGGTTCAAATGAATCAAAAATAAGTATAGTTCCAATCAGAAACTAGAACATAAGGACTATCGGGCATCGGAATGACAGGTTAACGGTTTTGAGAGGGTCAACATTATATCCTAACCTGAAAATCTTTTGAGACTCCAAATAAATCTAAATTCTGTATGTACAACCTATCATTCCATCTACAGAAATGATCCGAGTGTTTCCAATATGCAATTCCTAAACAATTTCTAACTTGTTTATTGCGTTTAAATTTCGACTCTAATTTTAAATTGATATTGTTGATTTTGTGCTTAATATCTTAAATAAACTAAAGTTCTTGCAAACGAGATTGGTTCCAAAATGATTGATGTTTAAAATTTACTTTAATGACCACCTAAAATCTTAATTTACCCACCCCTTTTCCCTCAATTATCTGGTATTGTAAAAATATAGATCGCGATGATAATTACAAAAACAGATCCATCCAGTTTTTCATGCTACGAATTGTAACAATAATAAATATCGATACATACCAAAATAACAAAGTAGAAATCTCACGTATTTTCGCGAGTAATGACACAGAATCTGAACACGTGCGAGAGGAAAAAGACAAAGAATGCGAAAACAATTGAAACTAATGTTTAAACAGACATTATACGCTAATTGAATAAAATTTTACATAATCAAGGTAATGGTTTATCTCCATATCCCAAAACCAATGGCCTAACCTAAAATGTATAGCAATGCTTTTCTTCTTGCAGCGTGTTGAGAAGAAAATTGTAAGGTAAATAGTAAATAGATTAGATTGCTGGAGTGAAAGCATTAAGAGCATTAAGAATATTGATCTAGTAATTTCTATTATATGGCTTCGTATAGAAAGATTTTAGCATTTGTAAACCTAATGGTTTTAAGATGACCCTAAACCGACCCGACCCGACCCGATTGTTAGGAGCAGTACAGAAAATGAAATAAGAATATTTTTTTGATCAATTATTATCATACAAAAAAGATAGGATTTACAGATCGAAACAGATACGTCACCGATTTTTATTCGAAATAATAAATCCGAAATTGATAACCTGCTTTAATCGATAAAAAATTGATCCACTATAATTCAAATCTGATAACCTGCTATTTTAGTAACTGATATTCAAAAGTTCAAATATCTGTAAGATGTCAGGTTTGTCAGGTAGTATAAATCAATTTGATTGGCTCATATCGGGTTTGTGTAATAGAGTACATATATGAGATCATTGCTAGAGAAATGACCCTCCAAGACTATGTTGATTTTGTGAATAAAAATTAATTTTGTCGCGTATTTAGTTATCCAATTTGAATAAACTATTTCTTTGTTTTGTAGAGCCCAATTAGCTCTACAAAATAAAAAAAAAGTTCATTCAAATTGGATAATTAGCGGCAAAATTAATTTTTATTCACAGAATCAACATAGTTTGGAGAATCATTTTCTTAGCAATGATCCCATATAATAAATATAATCTAACCAATTATATTTATTTATAATCATATAACCAGTGTCATTAGTATTTTAAACCTGATAACCTCTCAAAACTGAAACAAAAGCTGTTCACATGAATATCGGATTTGAGAGCATATACTATTAATAATCAGCAATCAATTTTGTGGAATAAAGTAACCTTCGTGCCAAATTGAGTAGATTCTCATTTTGAATGCTTTTTGCATACTAATGTATCGTGTATTATTTATGATATTAATTTTTTATGTGTAAAAAAAATCGCATCACGTAGATATTTTATTCTGTAAAATATGATAATATCTTATTGATAATTATATTTGATCAAGCTTCTTTGGAAATCAAATTTGGAAGTAGTAAAGATGCTTATTGGTTCTTATCGTATCTCTTTTGCTCGTGTATGGTCCACAAATATTTATTGTTCACAGAATTTCAACGCGTATGGTATAAGAATTCATATATAAGTTCGTGAGTTTTATTTTTTTTTTTGAAAATCATATTTCACTAAACTTAAAGAAAATTGAAATGGCATTTTTCATAGCTTTTTGCCTAATTATCATCTTGGGTTATTTAATTTATTTAGATGACAAACGACTTAAGTTAGATGTGGTAAGTTAATATTATTAATTTAATGTCCATTAAAACCCTCGATTTGCTGCATAATAAGATATTTATCAATGCATTAATTTGATTATGGTCCATCTATTTAGAATGAACCACCCATGGCTCCATATACTTTACCTATTATTGGACATACGATTAGTTATTTACTTAATGCTGATAAATTTCTTGCCGAATGTAGAAAAAAAGTAAATATATTACAAACATTTCATATCCTTTTTTTTTTTTTTGTTATTGTTGTTTGTCGTATTAACATTTTTTACAAAAATTTTTTATTTCACAAAGTGTGGTGATCCATTCAATATATATATCTTTGGAACTGTATTAACTTATGTAGGAAATAAAACTTCGAGTGAAGTTTTTAAAGAACATGATTCTTTTGACCATGAGCAAATTCTAGTGGAGGTACGTTTAGAGCAGGATATAATATTTTGTATACTACCTAATAATTATAATTTCAATTTTTTTATCATAATAGACACTTATATTCCCTTTAGCCTTTAAAAGAGTCAAAGGCTTTGGTAATATGAGATTTCTTGCCAATGCGGTTCATGAAGAAGTAAGTGGAAAGATAAAAATATACATACCTAGATTGCAGAAAGAAATTAAAAAGGGGATCGAATTATATGTTGGTGATTGTAAAGGTAATTTGTATTCATTATTTAACATAGCAGCTAATGCTAGATTTATAACTATAATTATTAAACGAATTCTAGAATCAAAAGTTATCAAACATTTTGGAGATACAATTTTATTTATAATTGTACGACCTATATTAAATATAATATTTGGAGAAGTAAGTTTAACTATTAGGCTTGATTGTAAATTTATATGCAAAAATACCCTGATCACTATATAAAAATCACGGGATATTTAGCAATCCATGTTTATACAAGCGGAAACTTTGTTTCCGCTTATACACATGGATCAGGATATTTTAATTACTAATAATAATATACTTACCATGACAATTATAAATTGTAAAGGAGGCAAGCCAATTTGAAGAATTGATTACTTCAATTACGATATTATTAAGTCAGCTTGGAATGCTACCTTTAATACCACCGGTCCTATCACTTATTAATCCTTCACTTCATATAAAGGCTATTTCGTATTATATTCAACCAATTATTTAATCTGAATTTTATTGGTTTATTTACTTAATATTAAAATTTTGTTATTAAACTTTATAACCTATTAGTTGGTTATTAAGATTTGGGTGGAACCCAATTAATAAACCAAAAAAACTCTTTACCAAGTTAATGAAACCCATCGTTGAAAAACGCATTATTCAAAGGAAAAGGCTTGGTATCAAATATATTAAAAAAGTATGTAATGTTTTTTTGAAACAATTTACATTTTTTTTTAAAGAGATATATATATCTAAAACGAATATTTTCCTAATATTAGGAAGATTTGATGGAATATTATTTAAGTAATTCGAATTATGCAACTACTAAAGTGGATGATGAATATATGGAATTTTTATTTGAACAATTGTCTGTTACACTTTTTGCTGCATTTTTTACGACTGTTAAAATTGCTACAGAAGCGCTTTATGGTAATAATAAATGTGAATTTCAATAATGATATACAAATAACTTATTTTTTATTCTTTTACAAATTAGAATATGCCGGAAGACCCGAATTATGGAAGGACATTTATGAAGAACAGTTGATGATTTATAACAAAACAAATGGCAAACCAACTATTGATGACGTTTATGAAATGGCAAAATTGGATGGTTTATTAAAAGAAACTCTTCGTCATTCTTTTCCTGGTAAATACTATATTTAATAAGATAAAATAATTTATAAGTGTATTAAACAAAATTTCATTTTATATATTAGTTGTGGTTAAGACCACTGTGAGTAATGATTCATATACATTTAGTACTGGTCCCACAATTCGTAAAGGTATGCATATTTATTCATTTAACTATTGTTATACATGCATTTTTTTTTCTTAAAAAGTACTTCTAATTAATTATGTAGGTCGTGTAGTTGTTGTTTATGCAACCGATTCACATTTTAATTCTCAAGTTTACAAAAATTCCGAAATTTTTCAGCCCAGTTTGTTTTCGATAGTTTAAATCAGAAAATAATAATTGAAAGTATGCAAGCGTAATGTCGAACACTTTGATCCTCCAATTTTTGCTATTATGTACCCTGCATATTATTACGTATTGTAAATCCATGGACTCTAATTTGGACACAATTCCACAAATCCGCCGATGCATAACGATAATACAGT